GTTCTCGCCGCAGCTGCGGGTTTCTGCATGCGCCATGTTGGAACCTGCTCAGTTTGCAGTCTCGGGGCGCCTTGCCGGTGGACAGACGGGCCGTGCTGTTCCTGAGGTAAGCTCTAGGCCAGCTGACTCGGACGCGGCCCGTTTTCCTTGTCCGAACAGGCCCCCCCCCCCCGCGTTTCGTCGTGGAGTCTTGGTTTTCGTTGGGCGCAGACAAAGCTTCCGAAGACCCGGTTAAACTGGGCTGTTGGTAGCCTTCGGCATACTCTTGTTTTACCCTGTTGATTTAAAAAGGGAAACGCTTTCACGATTGGCTCATTTTTTGCAGGGGCGAAGAAGCAAATGGAAGGAGAAGGTCCTTTTCGGGAATCGCCGTGCTTTGAAACCATGGCACTGTGGAGGGTTGCGAAATCCGCTTGGGTGATTCCCTGCAAATGACAAACTGACAATGGATTCAAGCATGGTTTCCAGGTGGTGCGAAATGGATTTCGCAGCCATCCGCAGAAGGTTCCAGGTCTGGCGGTGGAAGCTTGAAGGTAAAAAGTGCTGTGATTAAAGTCTGCAACTCTCACTTCTGGACTTCAAGCTTTTTGGGACGACCATTCCGGTGGCAAACGAAAAGTTCCTGGACTGCTTTCGGCCAATCCACTCGATCGGAAGTGAGAGTTTTTGTCCTCCGGTTCTTTTTTGTCTACCCAAGATTTGATTCCCAGCCCGTTGGAACGGTTGTCAATACGATTGCCGGCCAGGCGTGCCTGCTCACCTGGTGCAAGAACCACGTGGCTTTGCGCTGAATTACGGAAGCCCCCCGAGAACGCAAGAGAGAGGGGTCTACATGGACTGTTTTCCCGAACCCACCAATCCAAAAGTTGAGAGGCCGTGACCCCCCCCCTCAAAAAAAGATCACTGAACGGTTGAGTAGGGCGTAAAAGAAAAAGCGCTCGCGGCTGGGTTCATTGAGGTGGACTGCCCCATGTGCCGCCAGCCAGTGGGGGAGCCTGACAAGGAGTCGCAAGGACCAGAGCCGTGAGCCGTGAGCCTGGAGCGGATTTCGGAGGGAAACGGGGGGCTGATGGCCTGAAGACAGGGTCCTCTTTTGGTGTAGCAAAGTGGGGGCTGGAAGGAATGGTTGAAACTAACCATTCCCAGCGCTCCGTGTCAGCGAGTTTCGGGGGCACTTTTAAGTGGATGGGCTTGTAATGGGAAGTCGTCCGCGCGAGTCTGCGCAAGATGTTTCATGTGGTGACCCACTTTCAGTGGGCACTGCGTCAGTGCGTCGGCGGCAAGCTGAAACAGGCAGATCGAGCGGCTGGTACTGCCATGGAGGCAACCGCACCCACCACAAAGCCATCATGAGTTGTGGAAGCTTGTGAGCTCGGCATCAGAAGTAAAACGACCCTTTCTGTCCCGCAACTTTGAGACAAACCCTAATGGGATTTCCATTAACCATGGGAAGTTCCGGTGGGGTTGGGTTGGGCTCCCTGGTCCCCACTTGCAATCTGTAAGGGCATCCACCGTGCCAAGTACCGTGGCAGCCTGGAACTTCAAATGCCCAGGATGGAGGAGCGGCCCTTACAAGTCGAATGCTTGGCAGCACTCAGCGCTCCGAGCGGATCTCCCAATTCTGCGGCTCGTTTTTTCTCTTCTCTTTTTTTTCCTTCTTTTTTTCTCCTCCGCAGCTAGACATGATTTCATGAAACGCACACCCTACGCCCCCAGTGAAATCGCCCGAGCTTGCCCATTGGAGTCGTCCGCGAAGATGTTGGCTCAGCTGTCCGGGTGTGCGCGCGCCTTGCCCAAGGCGTCCGGAGGCACAGGAAGCGGGCGGAGGGCTGATTTTAGGGGTGAGACATCTGTTTCTACAGCTCCCAAATGGAAGGTGTTTGAAAGGAAACCAAGCGAAAGCTCATCATTTGAATGCCCACATGCAGTCAAACCAACCACAAACCTGTGCACATGAAAAGGTGCCCCGCTGGCTGCTGGGATTCCATTTGCCGGTTCTAAATATCCTGTTGAGTGAGGGCGTGGTTTTAAAGGCTACCTACGTACGTACTGGAATGTAAATAAAGTTGTTCCTAAGTCTTCACACACACACATATACAAATACATTTGTATATTTACATAGCCATGGGTCAAAAGCCAGTATGTTCAGTGAACATCCCAATCCCCACTAAAATAGACTCAAATGGGTGGTTCACCTACCCCAACATGGTACCATTGGTATTGACCCACATCCACAGCTAAATAGCTGCGTAAATATATGTGCATATCTGTATCCATGTGAATGCATCGTATTTGCACAAGTGTATATATACACATGTTTATATATATGTATATACATGCAGATACATACATATGTATATACACACATATATGTATATTGAAATCGCTACGCGATCCGCCGACGGCAGTGAACAGTCCCCTATTAATAAACTGGGGCTGATCAATCTGGAGTCAGCACTGGCTCAAGGGACAATTGCCAGACCAGGGCTGCACAAAGTCAGCTCGCCCCCCTCTGACGTCGGTTGCAGGGTGCAAATTAGGGGCTCTTAACACGTGGAAGGAGAATGCAGACAACGCCCCTCTGACGTCGGCTGCAGGGTGCCTCGAATTTGGGGCCGGGAGCAAGACGTCTTTTGCCTTGGCCCTTAACGTGTTGAGGGAGAACAAACAACGCCCCTCTGACGTCGGCTGCGGAGTGCCTCGAGTTTGGGCGTTTTTTTGCTTAGCTCAAATGGGGCTCTTAACGCGTGGAAGGAGAACACAAACAGCGCCCCTCTGACGTCGGCTGCAGGGTGCCTCGAATTTGGGGCCGGGAACAAGACGTCTTTTTGCTTAGGTCACATCGGGCTCGAAACAAGTGAAAAGAGACCAAACGACGCACGTCGGCTGCAGGGTGCCTCAGGTTTGGGGTCAGGACAAAGACGTCTTTTTGCCTAGGATACATGGGTCTCTTACGCCTGAAAGGAGAACAAGCAACGCCCTTTTGACGTCGCAAAGTACTTTGAATTTGGGGCACACGGGAGTCTTAACGCAAGCAACGCCCCTCTGAGGTGCCTTGAATTTGGGGTAAGGAAAAAGACGTTTTCTTTTGCCTAGGTCACATGGGGCTCTTCACGCGTGGAAGGAGAGGGTGCCGCGAATTTGGGGAAAAGATGTGTTGTTTTTTGTGTCGGTGACACGGGGCTCTGCTGAACACGTGACAGGAGAAGAACACTAGGGTCTACTCTTTAAACCACCCCCCGAAAGGGTATAAAAGCAAGGCTCCAATGCTTTTTGTAAGTGCAACAAGGCCTTCTTGGCACATTCCTGTTTTTCATGTTCCGGATGGTGAGGGTGCTGGAAATGCAAGGGATGCAACCACACAACTTGCAGGAACAGACCCAATCTTCGCGCTCAAGATTTTAAGACTTTCAGACACGCAACATTGACCAAACACAGAAAATACCAGATGTGGGGAATGCAGGGAATGCAGCCGGCTAGCCACAAAAAGTTGCAAAACACCAGGGTTTTTGCAAAACACTTGGCCCCACCCAAGCCCATAACAGGCCTGAAACAGCAAAACAACAAATTCATGGCAACAAGATAATCCTGATGATGCTGGGGATGCACATCCTGCGCGTCCGGGGGAACCCTCCCCCCCCCGCCTAGAGACCTAGGCGAAACGCAGATTTCTCGCACGAAAGACCCAAAACCACTGGACAATACAGGGTTTTTGGACACCCAGCGCAGCATGCCCAAAAAAAATCAGTCCCAAAAGCTTTCGGCTTTGATAAGAGATTCCGAAGGAAGACCAACTTGCGGACTCACGCTCGACTGGCGTCGGCGGATTTATATATATGCACGAATCTCTCTCTCTCTCTCTCTCTGTCAAGGGGAGGGTTTGGCCAAGGTGTGCGCCGTTCAGATGGCGGCCTGGAAGGTGGGCCATGGCCATGGGGCGAGAAGCAGAGGGCCGGGAACGGAAGAACAAAGGAGGTAGATAGGAGGCTCGTCTTTTTTGAGCCCCCAAAATGGTTGGTTTCCTTCTGGTTTCCTCAAAGTCGCGGATAAAAAGTGGGTTCGCAAGAAGTAGGCACACCCGTATCCTTCTCGAATTGCTATATAACAACTCCATGCCTCCAGAAGTAAAGATTGCCGAAGAGAGAAAAACCACCCCTAAGTTCTGACGATTCCCCTTGATTAAACGCAGCTTCGCATTGCGGTCACGTTGCCGTAGGCTTGAACTGGGCTGCTCCACCTGTGTCACGCTCAAACACCGCCAGCCAACAACCAACCAGCCGACCAGCTGAGGCAGCCAGCCAGCTAGCCAACAGTTGATCTTTTGGAGGTACCCTCCCGCCCACCAACCTGGAACCCTACTGAAAGCCGTCGAAGATGATTTCCCTCCTACAAGTACGTCAAGCTTGTCAGCCAAGGGGGGTTCCTGGCGGTGTTCTTGGGATCGGTGTGCCAAACTTCACGCAAATGCAATCCCTTGTGTTTTTTGCAAGGGGATCCCTGCTGACAACCAGCCAGAAAACGTGTTACCAACGCCTTTCACACAAAAAGGGGAAAAAGAGTTGCATTTTTTGGTCAGGGCGGGAAACCAGCCCAACAAAGGAGACACCCCATAATTGCTTCAAAACGGTGGTAACAGAAGCCAATGTCCCCTTTTTTTGAGCGAATTAAACGTGGCAGCATTTCCAGTCTGCACACCAAGCAGAACTTGACTTAGTGGCCTATAGCCATGCATTTTTCGGGGACGAACTCCAGTTACCCCGCTAAACATCAGGGTTACCGCGTACAAAAGTGGTTGAACAATCCCATTAAAAAGGATTTTGCCGGGGGCTGCCCTTTTCACCCCGCCTCCCCTGACCCTACCTGACCCCCCCCCAACCCCCCCGCCGTCGCTGGATGCCAGGCCGGGCCCTGGCAGCTGGTGCCAGAGGGCCTCACCGCCATGGGCAACCAGAGGCGAGCCGAAGCGAAGCGAAGCGAAGGGTCGGGCAACCGGTGAGAGGGGCCCAACATTTTGGGTGGATGCGCCATTTTGAGCGGATTTCACCCGGTTTTTTCTCCCCTGTTGGTCCTTTTCTTGGTCAGTTGTTTTTTTAGAGAGATCCTTTTTTTGGCCACATCCGAGCCATTTTCTAGAAAAGGGGGTCCAATTCGTACAGGGTTTCCGTGCTGTCTCCCTTGGAAGCTCCGAAAGTGACAGTTTTATGAAAACCACTAGTAAATTGCAACCTTGGGGGAAATCCGGTGACCCCTCGTTTGTTTGCGCAGGACCATCATGCGTTTTCCGCCTCGTTCAACCCACGTATTAGACCCATTCGGGCCCACCCATACTGGGTTTCCCGGTTGCCGCTTTTGGTGGTTGGCTTTTAAAAAGGACAGCGAAAAGAAAACACAAGGTTTTTTTTGGGGTCTCTGAACAGAAAGAGACACCCAAATGGCCCCCCGCACCAAAGAACGAGGGCCTCGGAGCGTGCCAGCGAGGCTCCCCACCTCGCTGAGCCCAGAGGCGCTGGCGATGATCGATGAGGCGCCGCAGCCTTCGGGCCGCGGGTTGGCCCGCGCGTCACGGCTGCTGCCGTGACATGGGGTCTGACCTCGATTTAAAGACCCATCCTTCCGGTGGTTTCCTATGACCTATGATTTCCTTTCTGAGTTTCTGAGGCTTCGATGGGCAGGGAAGAATGAAAATTGGAGTCTGAATTTCGAGGCAAACACCATCCTTCCGGTAGTTTCCTATCGTTTCCTTTATGTGGAAACGACTGGAAGGACACTGGATTATGGTTTGCTATGGTTTCCTTCCTATGGTTTCCTTCATGTGGAAGATTGTGGAATGAGCAATCCACGAGTTGGTTTCTGGGAATGAGATACTGTGGATGGTTGCAAAATTCCTTTTGGCACTGCTTTGAAATGATGGGGAGCCAGTCTTGGTCGGTGTTTGCAGGGGAATCGAATCACTCCAGGATTTCTTAGGTGGTGCGTAAGCGGATTTTGTCCATGAACAGCATGTAGGCGCGGTAAGATGTCCAGAAGTTGAGTTTTTGTCCTCAAGGAATCAAGACGGGATGGATATTTTCCGATATTTTGCACCTAGCAACGTTGACCCCAAACAGAATGGAAGGAGACACCTCGAAATTCAGCAGCGGGGGTTCTTGTTGATCTTGGGTTCCCTCCCTCCGGCAGGGTTCCAATGACATCATTTCGTGCCGTTTTGCAGGATGCCACTTGCTGATTCCAGTTAAGGCTTTTGCACGCACGCTCATACAAACACAAGCAAACACACAAACACAAGCACGCAAACACACGCACATTCACTCACAAACGAACGCACGCACGACACTGACACACACACACACCCACACACCCACACACCCACACACCCACACACCCACACACCCACACACCCACACACCCACCCACGCACCCACGCACGCACGCACCCACATCCACACACACACACACACCCACACTCACACCCACACCCACACCCAC